ATGAATATGGATATTCTCAAGAGAGTGACCAGTGGACTAAAATACTAGCAAAATCTCTGAAGAATACATTATTTTGTTTACAACCGCATGCATGTCGTCATCGAGACAGAAATAATACTCAAGGGAAAGGAAATGACTAATCCTATAATGGCCTTAAATAGTAAAACGTTAAATACTCTTAATTGATTCCAAAATTTGTTGATGTATTTTATCGTATATTTGTCTCGTGGGGACCTTATGGGCATAATTCTTCTTTGCTGGTAAATTTGCATAATCAATTAAAGAAAAATATTTAGTCAAAATTTAATAACATTTGGCAGCTTACTTGACCTAATAAGTAAATATTACATGATGAACCGTCTAAGAAACTCATTTTTTACGACAGAAGTTCGGAGCATACGAACCCCTTTAAAACGTTTTACGCAGAAATTGTTGCCATGGTTACRTTAATCAATCATAAAACCATCGGATTACGTTCAACTTATGAAACTATAAAAGGTTAATATTTTTAAATTATAAAGTTGTGCAGTTCAAAGTATATTATTCCTAGTGGTAGTCAGAAAGACCCTCACACCATCCCACCCCCCTCATAAATCGTGAGATACCAACTCTTCGATCCCAAAATGTGTTACTACACAGGGATGGCAACATTCTAGGGACATCTGTCTGGCATAATCTGAACTCAAACCTCTTGTGTGATGAGGGCGTATTTTTGTTAGAATTTCAAGTGTTTTAGTTGTTTCCTATTTAGAACTGGTCACCCTGTGTTGTTGCCCTATGGCAGGCCGGGGCGACCAAAATTAATCGCTAAAATGAATTAGCAGAAAATGATCTCAATGATTTAACTTCCAGCTGATAAAAATATAGAACTTTGGACAAGAAATTCTTTCATAAAGAAAACGTAATAAAAATATTTATAGAATAAATTGCCTTTTTTTTCGTTGTGTACCCGGAAGTGGTTTTTTTCAAACGAAGCATGGGTTACTATCAATAGACGTCACTTCCGGTAATAGCTGAGTTTTTAATGGCTTTAGAATCTCGGAGGTTGTTTTGATCTCTTGTTTTCAGGTTTCATGTCGTAGAAATAGTCAAATGCAATAGTTTGAGGAGTTATTTTGACATGTTTTGACTTAACATCCGCTAGTTGCTCCTCAGTCTAGTCCAAAACGTCACGTGATTGGGAGTAAGTAAGACGTCACACTTTTAGGTGTGTCTGTTTAAAAAAGCTTTATACTTCATGTATCTCATTTTTATTGTTCCTTTTCCCGTTGTTTCTATAACGAGTCGCGATATGACGCATTTCACAAAGTATATCCCTACATTTCTGATCAGACATGTTGAGTTGAGTAGAGAAGTTTATATCGAGGAAAATATCCCAGTATTTGTGAATTGTGTGGCTTTGAACATGGCTTAAAATACATTCAGGTAAGTTGTGAATGTTTTAGGATAGAAATAGGAATATATTTAATATATTCTAGGAGAGAGAAGTCTCTTGAAGCAGCTAGTCCATATTGTCATTTCCGGTCGTTTAGAACCTCTTCCAAGTTGGTTAATTTTATCATAAAACAAAACAGCAAAATACCTTGGTTATCTATCTTGAAGTGATGCGTTAAGTACGCTTTATCAATTATTTAAAAACTCATTAATAATTCATGAAGGAAACACAATAGAAATCATGACCATGAAGG